GTGATAGCGCGCGTATCAAATACTTGTTAGTTACCCTACACCAGCACTAACTTTCGTAAATTGTACGAATTAGATATAGTCATCACTAACTATCATGAAAGGTTTCAAATGATCAACTACCATATGATAGAAATTTTTTACAGAAATCGAAACTGTAGATGGTGATGAGGAGGACGATGATGAGGATGTAGATGACGAGGAGGTGCATGATGAGTCTTCAGAAGGCGAAGGAGACGCATCAGAAGGTTTGCCATTGCGCTCCCTGTTTGGAAATTTTTTTGCTGAAAATCATTTACACTCTATTTTCCAGGTGAAGGTGATGACGATGAGGGAGATTCTGGCGAGGAAGAAGATGGAGATGACGCCGAAGGCGGCGAGGAGAGTGATTAAAGCTAGAAGCACGGCTATACTTCGTCGCCGATAATGTCGTTGACGTGGTCGTCGCGTTGTGAAGCCGTCCACGTCGTCACGAGCTCTTCTCCCCACATACACTCCTTCAGGGCGGGTCTTGTCCGGTGGTCCAAAATCCACCAACCACAACCTATTCAGTTCCTCAGTCGACCGTCCACGCGCGTTAAATATCACCAACACTTATCACTCACTCATACTCATCACTCAACATCACAACCAACTCGATCCCCGGCCGACCCTTGTTTGACTCTCATTTTTTTCTTTGTTTATTTTTAAATGTTCTTGATTGTCATTTTGAACTGTTATGGCTGTATTATTAAGTCGTCGTGTGTATTAATTTGAATGTTATCTTGTTTGAAATCTTAGTGTTAAGTAAACGTTTGTACGTCGATACAGCACAGAAAACCTTTTTGGTTAAAAAACGGTAGAGTAATAGTAATCAGTTTTTAAGAAAAATTGTCTTCGTTGAACGTGTCAAGATTGGGACAGAAAGTTTTGAGAAGAGAGTAAGGGTAGAGACAACAGAGAAACATCTACAACTGATAAACAAATTTTTCAATTGTACACAGCAATGATACTTAAGGTATCTGTGCAAACATGCCTTTTGCAAAAAATGTATACTTTCAGGACGTACAGGGCCAATAGGATTTTCAAGTGCGATCGCATTTACTACAGCAAAAATATCAAGATAATAATGTCAGCTGTGATATTATGTTAATGAGGACATTAGCATCAGAAGTGGAAAGAATTCGCTTGTCGGATGGGTAAATCATAGACTTTATGAAAATCTAAACTTCTACTGCATTTTCTTGAACATTTGTTCGAAATCAGCATTGAAACATACTTGGCAAATAAAAATCACATAAGTTTGGTCAGCTCGTGATTAATTGTGATGTATGACCCAAATAACCTATGTAGCGATTATATCTTAATAACAATCAAATTTACATTTAATTTTGATAACTATAAAAGTTGTTGGAAGAAAAGGCGAGGGGAAGGAGACTCGTTTAGCATAGGTTCCAAATCTAGGGGTCCATATAGAAATGCAAATCGGCTTCAGTAAGCTATCTCAAAAATATACAATACATTCGCATACAGGTTTAACAATATCTTAGAACAACCATTCAATTTCAATCTAAAGATTTTCTTAATCATATTAAGTTATTCATTATACAGAACATGTTTCTTGATTATGAAGTATCACATCCTGTAAAAGTAATTCATAACATATTGGATTACTACGATTACTCGCTCCTTG